TCGTGGAAACACGAAAAAATGCACTGCGTTCCGTCACGCGCAACTGGGTCGCACTGCACTCGAGAAACCATACTAGCATCGAATAATGTATTCAGACAAACGGTTCCCTCGACGTATCTCCGATACACGCTGATGTTAAATCTTATGGAGGAGATCTCGCACGGTGGCCAGAAAATATAATAATCTGCAGATTCGATAAATTGTAACAATAGGGGTGAATGGTAACGACAGAGAATTGGTTAAACTGTATAACAGAAGAGATACCAGCTCCTTCGTTTAGATACTCTTTTCGTACATTTAAAATTATTTCACGATTGTTCCTGGCTTTTCATAACGAAATGACAAGAGAATACAATTTTAAGTAAATTTTAATTGTTCAATTTTCGAGCAACGATATTTTTCCTACTGTGCGCGAATTCGTTTAATAATCACAATTGATTATACGTAGAAAAGAAACATTTCTGTTAAGGTATGTACGACTTACCGAGAAACATTGTTTACGAACTAATTAAGGAAAGGTAAGTTTGTTTCGAACTGTATTCTATTTCCAGTTGCTTCAAGTAAAAACGAACTCGCCCAGAATTCGAACGTTGATTAAACAATTTAAAGCTGCAACTTGAAAAGTTATCGCTGCTGCAATTGCAAAATTTCTCCGACGTCCGGGATAGCCATTTCTCAAGTCCGTTTTAATCCGTATGAAACGTACGGTTTGATCGTGTTACCGGAACGCATTAGATTTCAATTAGAGAATTACTCGATTCCGATGGAAACGAACGCGTGGAATATCCAAAGGCGAAGGGAAATACAGCGTATTTCTGGGCCATGTGAAAGTTGCCAGTAGGAAACGGTGATTGGAAAACAGCGAACCGTTTGAGACCGGGTCACGGACCTCCCGATCGTTCTCAAACTTTCCCGGTGCTCGTCAAATACGTTCCGAGTCTGTGGCGTCTAACTTGACTAATTGGCTTCCTCCTCGAACCGACTAATAATTGAATAATGAAATATCGGGACTACGAGGAGTGAAATTCGCACCGAAGGGAAACGGCTAAGCGTTACGTGAGAAACGTATACTTGCGTTTACATCGAACGCTGATTGTACAATTAAGGATACGAATAATTAGTTTGTGACCTGACACCTTTATCCACTCGAGTCTTGAAATTTTTCCTTTGAACACGCGATAATTGAATTTCTCGGGTACAATAATTAGCCGCGATCACACGATAATGACGACACGCAAAACTTGGGTGCCACGATACTCTGGTGGAACTAATTTTACGGAAAAAAGAATGTATTTCTCGTCGAACGAAAAATCGACGCCAGTTTTTGCGGTTACGTAGAAACGAGTCGAGTAAGGCTGGGGGCTCGACGAGCCGCCATTAACACGGAACGATCCTGAATCGGCAATCAGGGATCGAAAAATCTTAATCGCGCAATGACTCGACGTTTGACGGTGCAGAAAGCTCGCTTTTTGCCGGGACTGCGGGGAAAAAAGACGAACATTCGCTGGGAACGAGTATCGGGAGAAAAATGTTCTTGGTAACGCGCAGGTCTCTCCAACTTGTTTCGACTGAATTTTAAAACGGCTACATAGAGATTGATTAACAATTTTTTTCGAGGAAAAAGTAAACGCTGCGAGTATAATTTATACGAGTGAATCCCTCGAAAAAAGTGATTAATTTTTATATTTTACGAGCTAACGTTACCGCTATTCATCTTCAAGTTAATTCGAACGTGTAATTCTTCAATTATTTTAGAACATCCTGTAACCCCTCGGGATGTGAAGAACGTCACTCCGTAAGTTAATTAACTTGCCACGCGTCTGTGCATAAAAAGTGTGCCTCTTTGAAGTCTATCCCTGAAATCACTAATTCGATTATCCCCGGGCACCCTCGGAACGCTTCGAGCGTGTATTCAATTACGAGATCTTTTTACCGTGCGTATTTCTAGACAACTGTTCCATCGATCGGATCGTACGAAAGTTGGGAAGAAAAAAGAAATGACGTAGGAATTTTCCTTCAACCGTCTTTTCCGTAGAAGCGTTCCAGGCTGTTCGCACAAGTATCGGCACGTGACGGCGAATAATTCCCTCACGTCACCGGCAAAAACATCGCAACGCCGCGTCACGTTCGGCCCGATGAGATATTGCTGATCATTTCGCGAGTCGGTTATCGGGGATCGTTTCAATTTCCCGTGCGTCGGCCTCTTGTTCACCGTCGTGAGCTTCGACGTATCATGACGGACGGTCAGCCGGGCGACACCATTTTTCTTCGAGGCGAAATTACTTGGAGCTCTTTAACAAACGTCGAGTCATTGTTATCGCGACGTGGGATGACGTGACCGTTCGCCGTTTTCGCGATAAATCGAGGAAAATCGGGACGAAACCCCGTGGTGTTTCACGAACCACGATTTCACTGATTACTAATTTAAACGTAGAATCAACATAAATAAGACCTCGGGGGGGATTATTCCAGAAACGGGTCGGTCGGTTAGTCTAATCATATAAGCTGTATATTAATTTATACAGCGAAATACTTCAATTATCTTTTATATGAATATCTCTTGCAATTAGACGGATGCTTAATTGAGTTTCCATATAAACGATTCATTGAAAGCATCTGTAACATTACAGTGATTCGTTTTTTTTAATTGAATTCCCAATTACACGGTGATTTAATTGATGTGCTGGCTGATTGCGTTCGCTTTGGAACGAATGAAATTGAACAGAGTACGGAATGGAAAACATTTCGAAAACTCAAATTGGTTCTATGATAAATTAAGGGATAGAATTTTTCTTTCTCAACGATGTAATACGATCCTAACACAGGAGGAAATTTTAAAAATGTAAAATTCCACGTACCTTTCAGTTCCCGAAATTCGGATGATCATTTTCTCCATGCGTCCAGAGACCCATTTTCCTCTCGTTGGAACGCAATCCAACAGCAGTTTGTTGCCCAAAAAATCCTGCTGCTGTGAGTTTATTTCTCTATTGACAGAAACAGATGAAACACAAAAGCACAACACAATTGTCCGCAAAGGAACAGCGATCGAGTAAGAACGCCTCGTGTTACCGGCAATCACCGATCCTCGGCTCGAACCGATACGTCTACGAAGGCGACGCGGCGCTCACTGCGGAGACTCGGTTGCGTACCCGCCCTTATAGCATCGTGTTGCGCTCACACCGCGCCCCCTTCGTCGCGCTTCCCCCCACCCTTAGTAGTTCCTCTCGCCCGCCGTTTTGACCCTCTGCGCCGTACCTCGCTCTGCACCCTCTTTCTCCCACCCTCTCGCGCATCTACCTGTACCTCACCTGCACCATCGACACACTGCCACCCACCTTACAGGATAACGCAAGCGTTCTGGAATAAGCGTTCAAAGGACCGGCATTCTTCGCGTATGCTTCGACACCTCGTGAGAATCAAAGATTGCGAGAGAATAGAATTCGTTCCAAGCGTTTCATCGGAGTTTGATTCATTCTATTTTATTTCCTGAGGGAGTGTATTTCGAAATGATTATTATTTTGAACAATAAATGGTCCTGATATTTCACGAGGTTTCCACAGTACAAAGGGCAAGGTGGGATTACCTAAACTTGCTCCAATTTGCCAGAATGCACTACAACTTGGTTGGACCTGCTCCAGAACTCATCATACCGAGCGTGAACTCACCTCACCTCGTGCTAACCTTCTCGAAATCGTGCAGACCCACTTGGAATCGCGGTATAACTCTCTTCGGGCTTCTTCAATTCCTGCAGAATTGCTTCGGTATGAAATTCTTTAGCAATACCAACAGGGTATGATTAAAGACAATCGTCCTAACTTACCTTCAATTTATATTAATTGTCCAAAATACATCAGGACGATTCATATTGATCCCGTTGGAGATTTGCTTGAAATTCCTGTCACTTTAACTCCGAGTGCCACCCCTATGTGGGACCCAGCCCTAAATCGGAGTAATCCTACCTGAGATCAACGTTCTAACTAGCGTTAGTTCTCTTCGACCCTCCTCGATCCTCGGGATCCGCTTCGCGTCGAAGCCGGCTCAGTTAGCCGCGGGTTCGCTCGAACGCGTGCCAATCCGCCCCGAACTCGCTCGAATCCGTCCGCTCGTTCGTCTCTGCGGCTGTCACGTAGCTAGATGGTACATAACGTCGTGTTCACGTCCCTCTGACACAGACGTATGTCCGACTGTCGGTGGTGAGCACCCCGCATCATTAATTTATCCATCGCCAGGGTTGCCCGGGGGCAAACGGGTCGTGACATCCACGGGCTCATCAGACAAACGGGAAAGCCCAAGGGTGATGGCTTAAAAAAACATTCCTTTCGAGCATCTCCAGACTAACTCGCATCCCTGTACCGAACATCTGCGAGAGGGTGAGCCATCGTGGCTGTCGGCGTTTCCACCCCACCCGTCCGACTTCCATTCCTATTCTTATTTCGTTTCGTTACCGGCAGCCAAATAAAAAGAGGAGAAATACATTCGAAAAGAGACGCGAGTATCGTTTAAAATGACGACGCGGCTGTTACGAGATACCGAGCTTGTTCCACTGACCCTCTTGACCCCGTTTTTCACTGGCGAGTTCTGTGAGACTACCGTGAAAAAAAGAAAACGTGGCATGAGCTTTGCATACTCTCTAAAAATCATGCGTCGTCTTTGTATCTCTGCTTTTCCTTTCCCAGGGATGCTTCAGAGGAACTTTAATTTCCTCTGTCTACCTCTTCGTTTTTGTTGCTACTTTTAATTTTAACGTTTTATACAGAAAAATTGAAATTTTTAGCCAGATGCAGGTCAAACACAATCAACTTCATCCATTTCTATCGTATTAGAAATGTAATTGCTGACGTTTATCTGTCTCGCCGTCTGTCGCTTTTTGAGGAGGAGCGTTTTGATCTGACATCTGGAGGCACCCTCGAGTCACCCCATCAGTTTTCAAGCCCACAGACATCTTCAACGATCACCCTATATTTTTCTTTCAGGGACGGAACGAAATTTAACGAGGCTGCTAACAAAGATCTCGTTTATTCGACAACCAGTCTGTGCTCGCGGTGGCACGCGATAGCGAGTACCGAACGAAATCTACAAAATCGTCGCTGTTCGCGTACAATGAAAGTTGGCTCGTTAAATCCTCCGCTTCGGCATCTGCTTCGTCGTAAATGCTTTCGCGATACGCGCGACCGGCTAAAATATTTGCCAAATACGCAGCTCCGGACAAATTTATCGCGATAGGATAAATTTACTACGGTTAATATTCTCGATCCGTTTCTCTCTCTCACTCTTTCAGTAAAAACGATGCGAGATAGATAAAATACGATGAATTATTGTCTTAACGCACGGTTAATATTCGCGTTAACATCGCGAGAAAAGTCGAGTATCGTGAATTTACGAGACGCGTTTATGATTGTACAGAAAATATAAAATCGTGCGAGTCGATCAACGTTGCCCGGAGAATATTGCGAGTTTACCCTGTCTTTCTTTTCGGCCATTCAAAGTACCATAATCTCGGCGAAATTATGAAAAATTGAGCTCGATCGAGGACGAAACGCGTTTAAAAATGCAGGTATATTGAAATGCTCGTATTAAAGTGAATAACAGTCTTACGGCTAAAAATGCGAATGCTGCAATTAATGATTAAATAACCCGTCAACTCGAAACCATCACCCCATTTACAAAAAACAATAAAATCACACGTTCACGTGTCACATTTTCATACAATCTATTGCTCTTCTCTATTCTTCACGCTGAATCGATTGAAAATCGAACGTCACGTCACCGCGTAATACTTAAGGCACTTGTTCGCGATTCTAAGTTTCGCTTACATGGTAGAGACGCTGCTATTGATGAATATCGACAGTATTGATAAAGCGAATGAGAGTGACTGGTAAAATATACAAAGTGTATAAATACAATTGGTGGTACTTGCTGGAAATCTAAAACTTTCCATACATCAATCACTCCAATTAGCCTTACCGATATCTTAATCCTTGGACGGCTATGTTGGGTCAATCATGACCCGAATGTGCAAATGATTCTCAATTAAAAATAGTCTCTTAAATTCTTTCACAAAAGCCTCTCGTACGTTGAACAAATAATATCTAAGTGAATAGTTTCAAATATATGTACCTATCAAATTGAAATGGAAAAGATTAAATCAATAGCAACATCTCTACACGGTATACATGCTTTTACGTTTTCATTTTTATTCGAAATAACGAACAATTATCTGAACGATCCCCGAAAACAGTTCACGAGGAATCAACACACAAGCGAAGAAAGAAATCGTGAAAATAAAATGATTGGCGATTAGCACACGAAATCCGGTCTCCTCATCGTTGATCGTCGATTCCTGTCTACATTTGTCATTTTACACTACGGAATAATCCTCGATCAGCGTCTCACCGAAATGAGTTACCACGTAATCGTGATAATACATCATTATGCAAAGTGGTTGTCCGATAATGAGGCTCGCCCACACCGTGATATTGCCCCATCTTGAGCCCCAATGTTGCTCCACCTTCTTACTTAGCAACGATAATGGTATCTGGAAAATCAATTAGAAAGTTTCCTGCTGTTGGCGTGCTACTGCAAATTAATATTAATCCTTCTACCGTCGGACCGTTTCCGGAAAGATGATTCTTTCATGAGAAAGTCCTGTCGCGATCGGGTCATCCGATATTATCATCTGAGAAACTTGATCCCCGTAGACGAGGAAACTGTTTGAATTGAAATATCTTTTCAATTTCGATATCATCGATATTCTTTTTAGCGATGGTTACGTATTCCTTTCCGCATTGTACTTTGACATCGATTTACATGAATTTCAGCGATTCAACAAAGACGCGAGAAATTTAAATTTCGAAACTGTAAGTTCGTAGAAAAATTGATCCCGTAATATCGCAACAAGCAACGGAGATTTTTCAAGCAACGTCAGATATCATTTTGTATATTTAGCTCGGGTTGATGCAATAAAAAGTTTACCAAGCAGGGAAAACTTCGAACTCGGTATCGCGTTTTGTTTTACTTAATCAAACTTTTAAATCAGCTTATATGGTATACAATTTTAAAAGAGCACGCTAACAAAATAACTTCCAATGAAAATTCCCTTGCTTGTAATCCGAATATTTCAGTCTTTAACTTCACAATTATTTAACAAGAAGAACAACTCTCGAGACTGCCGACAAATTTCAAAGAAAAATCGATTATAAAAACCTACCTGTCCCATCATTCCCATAAACGCCCACGTTTTAAACGTCTTCAGAGGTACGCTCACGAGATACTCGTGAAAGAAGGCGCTGATAAAAAACACGGTGACAGAGGCGGTCGATTTTCCGTACCCCATCTCGATGATAGGAATGTACAAGTGCCTGCAATCAGTCCAGAAAAAAAGAAAAAAAAAACCTTTCACACATAGTACTTTCAGCGGCATTAACCAGAGAAATTATGCGTTCACTTAATGGAAAGGATCTCGATGTACGCCTCGTTTCTCCCGGCAATTCTCAAGCGGCAAGAAATACCCGAGCGAACGTTTTCCTCGGCATGCAAGCCGCTGCTATCACGGTGTTGTGCCGCAAAGCGACATCGTGCGAAAAGAACAGCACGTAGATAAGGTGTGTCGCGTTTAAGGATCAACGCGTACGGAATCGCGTCGAAAAATTAAAGCAATGGCCGTGGAAGTTTGGTCGGAATAGCGACACTTTGCTTGTCGGCTCGCGAGGAAACGGCGCGGTTCTCGGTCGAGTCAGAGAGGAGATCGTTAGCCGGCTGGTTATCAGCAACGATGGTACATTGGAAAGAAGAAAGGTAAAAGGTGGTAAGAGAAGGATAAAAAGAAAACTGGCGTAAAGAAGCTAGGAGAGAACGGAAGGAAGGAAGGAAGGAAATTCAAAGGTGGAACGCGGTCGTCGAGGACGGTTTCACCGTCGCGAAGAAGAGATTCCTTTCTTTAAAGATCCACCCTCCTAGTTGCACCGCGAAACCATCCCCCCCTCTCAGCTGTTTCGTTTTTACCTCACCCCTTTGCTTGTCCCTCTCGTCGCCGCGCCGTTGGAAAAGACGCTTCGAAATATCTTCCAGTTATAGAGGAGGCATTATAAGTTCCGCGGGGAATAAACAGCCTTAAGTGCGCGCACCGCGATGCGTATCGGCTTTTCCCATTACAAACCTGAAAGGACGTCGTCTTCGTCGACAGTCGTCCTCCCCCCGTTCTCTCGTCTACCCTCCACATCCCTCCCGGTACCCTCATGCTCGTCGTCTGTGCAGCTTTTCCATTTTCACCTCTCACGACCCCCCGTCGCCTTGGCGGTCGCATGGCTGCGTGCCAGTTGCAGCTCGCAATTGCAGCTGCATATCTCGGGCGAGACGAAAAAAAAGAAACGCGAGCCTAGAAGCGCAGGTGCGGTCGGAGAGGAGAAACTGCGAAGGATGCGGGGAAACGACGAATTTCGAGACTCGAGAACCACGACTACGCGGTTTCCCCGTGAGCAAAGCCGATTATGTTTTTTCCCGGGTTAATTATTCGGAAATAAATTAATTGAAATTTGATATTTGAATTAATTGAAATTTTTGGAAAAATCGAACGTTGTATAGCGTTTCTTTGTACTACGGAGGGTTATTGTTTCTGATGGCGCGTCGGTCTCAAGAGAACCCTTCGAACCGGGGATTTCAACCCTTCCGGGACGCGACACCCTTTCTTCACCGCGGTCGCGCAATAACAACTTTTCCACGGCTACTTTTTCGGGGATTTAAACTTTTCCGCGAAGCTACTTTCGAAGTAAAAACGCCTGCTGCGCCGAAGAAGGTCGTCACCGTGGTGGAGCGAGTTGTTAGCAGCACGTGCACCCGGCAAAACCGACGGAAAGTGGAAGACCCTATATGGAAAGTTTCCGGTAACTTTGCTGATTGTATTGAGCGATGCATAATCCAATGGAACGACGACAAGAAAAATGTATGGGGATAAAAAGCAAAGTGTTCCAACGAGCGACAAGCTTGCGCTTGACTCATGGATGATTTTGTAATCATTTTCAGAGCCGAATGCTGGCAATCGTGAATATATAAAAGCTTAATTGATTATGTTTAATTAATTATAACTGATCGGTAAGTTGAGATAAAGGGAACAATTTCTAAGTGCAGTGCATCGCCGACCTTCCAGACGCACTCTATCTATACTTTGAGATTGCTACAAATAAATTATCGATCAGTGTTACGAAACAACAGTGAGGATTAATTAATGAGCACGTCAGGGTACGTTGAACGAATCGATTTTCCGAAACAATCGGTAAAACAGAAGATTTTCCCGATACGAACTGTCAGGTAGTTCCATTTTCGTGGCAGAATAGTTTTCAAACAGAAGCTGCTAGCCGACACCCTTTCCACTTACACGGACATTAAAAGTACTACTTAGAGTGGCAGCAGTTATATATAGAGGGGTGACAGTGGAAGCTAAAACAATTAGCCGCGCAGCAGTTTCCAGCGGGGTTAAAAGGGGTGGCGGTCGAGGGAGGCGTACAAGCGCGGGGAAAGTCTCTGATTCACGGAAATTTCTCTTCCTTTTCGGAGGCCAGACAGGACCAGCTTTCTCGCGAAAAATGTAATTAAATCTCCTTAAAGCGGGGCACACTCGTTAACGAAGTTTACCCGCTTAGGCGGAAAGAAGCTCGATCAAAGTACCACTCGCGGCTGGATACCGATTTCTTTTCCTTATTTCCACCCTCCGTTCGTACCATTTACCATGAGAAAAGTAAAATCCCACGGGGTGCTCATAAGATTGCATCAAAATCAAATTATAATTGATCAGAGATAAATGGCACATTAATTAATTCGTTGGTTCTAAATACCAGGTACTTTCTGTAATCCTAGCTTCAATCGAAAATCAAAGGAAACAAATCCGAAAAAAATCGGGCAAGAGAAAAAAAGTCAAAGCAATGGAAAATGGTGGTTCATAGAGAACGTAATCCACGATCAACCGTTTCAGTGGCATTTTCCGTTTCGATCCGACTGCAAAGGGCCGAGGTTCGTTCACTTTCCGCGAAAGGTTGGCGTTCTGTACACAATCGTAACCGAGCAGCGTATCGTAGCATAGCAAATAGCGAATCAACGACACTTACCGCAAAGCCCATCGATGCACCGGCATGTTCCATGTTCTCCAGAAAGTGTCGATGTTATTCGCGTTCCACCAGTCGCAGTAGAAATTCCGATCAGCGAAATGCAACAGTTCACCCATCAGATTCAGGAACGAATGAAATATCAAGTAGAAGAAGCACAACCAGACAAGATGGTTCGGTATCTGGAACATAGAAACATACTTCTCTATTACTATCCGTCCTTACATTAATGGATACAGTAATTTTTTGCCATTTATTGAGAGACGGACATTTATTTAGATAGCGCTCGAATGGACATCGTTTTCATCCTTTTTATTACCAGGAGCGAAAGGTTTTTCACGCGGTATCGTTCGAACTTTGTTAGATCGGAACGCAACACCATTGGTATACGTATAGCCGAGGGCAACGGGAGCCGATATTTTATTTCCTTTTGTTTCGTATCCTTCATTCGTAGCTCGTTAATCCGACGCAAATTTCTGTCTCTCGATATTCCATTGCCGCAGCCCTGCGGGGGTGGCAGTGCAATTTCCACGTAATTCTTAACCACTGTTAAGCACACTGCGGCCCGCGAGCGTGCGAACAGCCAGGGAAAAGGAACGACGGAAGAAAAGGAAATACGATAGTCGTTGAAGCTCACCACCAAGGGAACGCGATGCTCTTTCGCGTCGTATAATATTTAAAAGGACCTTCGTTAATGGGGAAACAAAGAAGGAACTAATGGGATGGGTGAAAAGTATTGTTTCTATTATTTTCGTTGATGTTCCGGGTAATTACTGTCGTGTTAACACCTTTGGCGTTACTTCAAAATCAACAATTAAGAATATTCTAAAATTTGGACTTGATTTAAAATTTTTCTAAAAGTAGATCTCGCTTGCGAACGGAATCGTCGCGATTGGTGGAAGACAGCGAAAGGCAATCGCGGCAGGGAAGATCAAACGGATTCTTTCGGCGTTACGTTCGTTTCCTCTCCGGCTAGGTAGCCGGCTTGTCCAACGAAGAATTTTCAAGTTATTTCGTTCCGAATGTCTCCTCTAATTCCCCCTCGAGCATCCTCGAGCTTCCGTCGGCCCTTTACGCGCTCCAAAGGACTTAATAATGTTGCCAGGCACAAAGGTCAAGTCTCTCGTGCCGGCAGGCATTCGCAGCACTTTTATGGAAAGGGATGGAACACCCTTCACCAGGAACTGTCTTTCCTTCTTCATCAACCCCTTTCAACGCGACCGTCCGACTCCTCCACGAACGGTCCTCCACGTACTCCGTAAAAACTTACCTCGACGTTTTAATTTCGTTTACCTCGGCATGATGCCGACCGGAAGGGGATACACGGCTGGTGAAACCCCTTAGGTGGTAGGGGATAAAACCCCGTTGAACCGTTTGAAACAAGCCGATGATGGCACAAAGGAAAAAGCGGCAGGGTAAACTTTGAGCCGGCTTCCTGGCCAGAGGCTATCTCAAGAACGAAACAAGCCTCTCCTCCGTCACGAGATTTTCCATCAAGAGGGAAAAATCTTGGTGGATGATATGTGACAAGATAGAAACAAGAGGGATACCGGGGTAACAGCCTCGTGACAACGAAATTTTCCTATTAACCCTTATTAGACAGTTGATCCCCTAAAACGGCGGCTATTTAAATTTAATTTTACACTCTGTTTCATTTCGATTTTCGAAATTTTCAATCTACGAAATAAACGTCCAGTTGGTCGCGCTCGATTTTCTTTCATTTTTCTTTCCTTCATTTAGCTCTCTTTCGCTTTCCTCTCCTTCTCTCGAGACTCACGGGTATACGTCGCGCAGTATTTACTGCAGCACCGTGGCCGATGTAATCTAGAGAGTAGCTGTTATCGTATGAAGAGCGGGATGTAAGAATAACAATCAGGAAACGGGAGAAAAATTGAGCAAACTTTATAGACGTCGGCTCGAGATGACGACGAAATTGCCCGATCCTCTAACCTTGTCATTATTTCTTCGTAAAGCAGCGCGATACCCTCTTCTATCAACTTTCGATCTCTCCTCCTGCTTTCTGAGCTGCGAACGATCTCTTGAAAAAATATTACCCTTATATAATAACGAAGCAATCTTCCGTTGTAATAACGTTTCAGAGAAAATGTAACATTCTTTGATTTACATGATTGTAGAACCATTTTACAAGGTCCGATATGGACCAACGTGTGTAAGTACATATAAAAAATTCAACGTACCTTAGGTGGTACTGTTGAAGCCAATATGCCTGCGTTATTGATGGAAATCGATCGATCGTTCGTTCGGTATATATGCATAAAGCGACTAAGGGCGAGCTGGCAGGACAAGGTGCCAGGTAAGGTCGACGGATAAAAGAGCAAAGGAGCGGAGCGTTTTGTACAGCCTCTCTCACCTGTCACTTCTTTTTCGTCAGAGGAGCTGCCGCGCGTCAAAGAGATTCCGAAACGAGCGACGAGCGAAGGGAGCCACTCGTATAAAGCAGATCGATCTAAGGAAACGACCTCGTTGGCAGCGGACTGCAGGAAAATTGCGTTTCCCCATTACGACGAGATTAAAGTACTCGTCCTACATTGCAGTTCCAAACCTCCCTCCCCCGTTACTGTTCGCCTTTCACTCAACCCCCAATCTAGTTTCTCTTTGAACACCACCTTCTGTCTTCGAACTTCGCCTCGAGATCGTATATAAGAACCGCAATTAACCGGCGACGACCACGGTCCGACCGATGCGACGGCCCTCCAAGTTATTTGCGGTGTAAACGAAAATAAGGAGTCGCTGTATGAGGCCAAGTGTATCCTCAAAGTCTCAACGAAGGTACACTCTCTTTTCTCTCCGCGTTTCACCCCTACGTTCGACCCTTCGATCGACAAACAATTATTTTTCCCTCTCGAACGAAGAGAGGACAAAAGAGGCGTCCCGAGAATGAGCAATCCTCCTCGTGGCGTGACTTATGAGATTGAAAGAGGAGTTCTCGTTGCCTCGAGGAACCATAGGCTCCAGTTATATTTTCCGCTTCGAGTTCGCACAAACGAAACGTCGATATCGCTCCCGGCGATGGTTATTACTCGTTCCTTAATTCGTACAAATTTCTAAATAAATAAGTGCCTTTGGAAAATTATTTGTCGAATAGGTCGAACTTATCGGCTGATCGATTGCCGATAATTTCGAGGGTCAGAAATATTGACCAGACCAGCGGTGGTTATTTGCACGCATCGCGTCGCGGACGTCGATAATTAAATAACTCGATGGGCCCCAATTAACGGAGGCGCGGGAAAAATTTGTTAACGAACCTGGTCGATGCGCAGCTTTTTTCAGTCGCCGTTTTAATCGCGAACGAGTAACAGCGGTCGACCCTTAGCTCCGGAAGGGTCGCCTATTATACACGATTCGGTAGGAGGCTCGCGGTAGTCGCTTTGGGACCAAGTCATATATAATTAAATTCGGTTCGCCGAGTACGACTCACTGATCGAAACACTACGGCTGGCTAGTTTCGATCTCGAGAATTCCGGCTAACGAGAGAATAATAACGAGCACGAATAACGATGATCGAATAGGATCGGTCTCGATGGACGCTCGCGGTGGAGTGGCTCTAGAAGAGAGGGCAAGACGCGAATAAATATACAGAAAAAAAAAAAAAAAAACAAACAAGTCCATTATCGACAATGGATTACCTATGCAGCAGTCGTTTTAGCACCGATTTTCACGTTAATACAGGAAAATGTTGCGGACAGGATGAACAGGGGAACCCATTTTTCTGATTACCCATCCATTAACGCGGACCCCCGACCTCCATTTCGTCGGCTTTTCGCTCACAAATAACAACGTTCCGCGATATTACATTATACAGAATTAATCTAATGGTTTTTATCGTTGATGTTGGACGTTGTTCCTTTGATACGCGGCTGTTCCCCGTTATACGCGTCGCGTCACCCCGATTCGCTCGTTCCCGCCCTCAGCATCGTCCCTACAGACCGGTAACGAAAATTTTAATTAACGCATCGAGAGCGGAGAGAGGCAGAAGAGACGCATCGTGTCGCGGCTTTAATGGCAGCCGCGAATGTTACGCGTCAAATTATGAAGCTGTGTTTTCAGAGTTTACGTCGTCGGTTATGGGATAACGCGGTTATTTCCCGCCGCTCGAAACCCGATAAAATCCATACAACGCGACAACGCGGCAAGCTGCCCTTTGTGCACGCCCGCGAGATAGTAATCTGCTCGGATTTCACGGCTGCGTTCCGCTATGAAATGGTTACGCTGTAACGCCTCGCGAGTTCGCGAAACAATCACGAGCTAAGGGAAGTTACGGGGTTGATTCACGGACGCGTAACTTCTGAGGAAACGCGTCAACGGGGGAGACAAAACCGGAACATCACGTTGAATTTTACCCCATCTATTAAATATCGCGCCCGGGATCCGGGATTCCTTTAAGAACCAACGGAAATACGAACTTCGTAAAGGGAGTTGTACGTATACGCGCCTCGTCGAAGCTACATTGCCTTCCACTTCCGGAATCGTCAAAGCGACGCGCCTCGAGGTACCTCGCCTCCAGCTCGACGAGAAGAACAATATCTCGGGGATCTAGCTTTCTCGCAGACCTTCGTTTAACCATCTTTTACAGACAATCGTGATTTCTGCAGCCGCATAATTCACGCCTAGGGCGAAAAGAATCGCGAGCCATGGATTCCTAGATTCGTCACGGAATTTTCGGCATGCATAGAAACGATGGTCGCTACAGCAAAGCATGCCAGGAGGAAACTGAAGCGTTCGACGCATGCCGTCTATCCGAGGATTTGCAACCCAAACCCGGACTCTGTGTTAAACGACACACTCATCTGCGACACGCTCCGAGAATCGAACGATACCTCTCAGCTCGCGACGAACTTCGCGTAACCAACGAAAAGGAGATTGAATTCGCAAATATTGCTTCGAGGCTTTCCACCTAAGAGGTCCCCGACGAGAGGGCGAACAATTCGAAGAGGGCCGCGTGCACGCTCGGGAACACATGTAGAATACGAAGCTGCGTTATCCATGTGAATGTATCATTGTGTGCGTTCGCGTGGTTTTATGCACCACCCAGTGAAAGTACCAAACCGAATTTCTGCGAAAGCGGGAAACAATGCTCTAAGAAGATTTACCTAGATCTAATGAGAGAATTACTGTGATTCCCGCGATATTATTCGAGTAAATATTTGAAATCGAGCTAATTATATAAATTTCAGCTAATTGGGTGTAGTTTTATTTTCGTTCGCTTTGTTGTCAACCGAAAGTGGATTATACTCACAGCTAATTTCAGCATCCGTTCGGAAGCCTTCGCCACGTCCATGTTCTGAAAAATAAACGAGCTTCGATTATTAATTTGAAGAAATCCAGGCGAACGGTAAACACAATTAGGATAGAAGTTGTGGAACTAGGGGTGGAGGAACAGGACGGAATAGGGGGTGCGAAACGAAAGTTCCTAATTGGACTCGAACCCGCGGAATATGTAGCTCGAAATCGCCAGTTCGCGCGGAAATTTTTGCACAATGATTACGACGAAACAGGGGGTGGCTCGTAATTAAAGCGCCAATACAATTAACAGGGCTGGGATATTCGTAAGCCTCATCCTGAGCAGGATTGTATAAAAGTTCTAAAAATATTGAAGAAACCGGGTGATTTTTATTCGAGCTTTGATCGACTGTACATCGGTACTTTTCACGAATGTTTATCTTTTAAAAGCTGTACCGTGTACACTTCACCGCGGTCAACATTTATATTTATTCGTTGTGATATGAATAATATAGAAATATCACGGATATTTTTCATCCCTCGTGTTGCATTTATTCTCGATTTCAATATAAATATATCTTTATTACTCCTCTCTCATAAATGTACGAATGAATTGTGACTGTAAATAGCGTGGAAGGATTAAAAAGTTTTCAAATATATTTCAGTCTCCTCGGAAAAATTCGAATTATCATTTTTATTCATCAAACAGTCATTGCACACTATTTGCAGAACATTTTATGACCCGTGAAATTCAGTAGAAATATCGAACGCACAATTAATTAACACGTCGACCCATTATAGTATAAATTACTGACCTTTTCAGTGCCCATTGAAATCATGTATTTCCATTTCGTATAACATTATTTTTGCTGTTTCAAGTATTTATTATAAACCGTCAAAATTTCTAACTCTGAATCGGAAAGCCGTCTATTATCAAAGTTTCAAACGCTTGTCAAAAATGCAAACATACGAGGTAGGTAGAATATATTCTGCGGTATCAGTATTAATAAACCAAATGGAAAACACAAAGTTTCGCCGATTAGATTAATGTTCAGCAGGAACTAGCTCGGAATACTTGTGGTTTCCGGAAAGTATCTCTTATTCCCGTACGCTTGGAAAACGTCGAAGGAGCTTTCCAGCAATGGAATTGATATTTCGTGCGGTGTACTAATTGAATACAGGGGAAGGAAACTACCCCTCCGGCGTTTCGCTTAAGTGGCGGTTGTCGAGGTATCTCGGAATGGCACAACACGAGAACCCACGGTGCTTATACACCAGGCTTACAAATAAATACCTAAAGAGCCTGCTGTCGATTTCAACACACCATTTGCACACGAGTGTCCGTTTAACCCCGGCGTGTGCGTCCGTAATCTGGCGCAATCTAATCCTCCAATTTCTCGTCCCAGAGAAACGGAACAAAAATACGATTCCTCTAACGAGATTCGTTCCGAGGAATCGGTATCTTTTCAGAACTTTTCAGAAAATTTCAAATTACGCGATTCGTATTTGTCGAACACGCTGGAATGGAATGGTAATTCGATTTCTCTTTGGACACGGCAATTCCTGCGGACGTTTCGCAGAAATTGAAACGAAACTATGTATAATTATACGCATCCTGAGACTCGTAATTACAGCGTTTGATGCACGTTCGTTATAAACTCAGAATATAATATTCTAATTTCAGACGAGCCGGCTGTATGCAACGCCCGATTTTGTTCCCAGGATCGCTTTGAACCTTAAATATTCCCTTACGATCGAATGAATAAAAGTTTCGCCGACTAAGTAATTGAACTTGGCCAGCCATGCGATAGGCTTTCGTGACTGAACGAACCTTCGTGTTAGTTAAATTATCAGAATTACCAGCTGATCGATCATTAAAATTCTCCGGGCATTAGATGATTGCCAATTCTCGTCTGGGTGTTAGATTCGTGATCCATAAACAGAATGCCACTCTCGAGCATTTCTATTCATTCCCATTCGACATCGGCGTTACAGAATGTCCGAAGAGGAACTTGTTGAATTTCTGATGAAAATCCCGGGATCCTAAGCGATATCGCGTTCTATATTTTCCGTCGAAAGGGTACTCTCGGTTGCCTCGAAAGCGTTCGCGAATGAATAGTGCCGCTCGAGTGGTGTACGCGAGCAAAGCACTGCGAAAGGGGGAAAGTGAAGAGCGTTTGAAGCGAAAATAAAAGTAGAGCGTATCGTTGGAGAGGGTCGCGTTTAAATCTCACGCGTGTGACACTGCGTTGACTTGATTCCTCCTATTTCCCGTCTTCGCCTTTGCTTCTTGCTTCGACCAGGGAGACGTAGCCGGAGGATCGATCGTCCGAACGGATCAAAGGCCGGAAACCTTCGTGGGAGAAACCTTAGTGCACACAGAGGGGTTATAATAAGCCGTCTCGAGCGAAAACGCGAACGCTCTCGAGGCCGGTACAGTCGTAACTCGAGCCATCGACAGAACTGACTACACCACTGAAACTGAACACTGCTCCCGTCGAAGGCGCCTCGAGTTTACGTCCATTTATCGACGGACTGAATATGAGCCGAGCTTCGAATGACTACACTGTTCAAGTACCAGTGGATTGTGTTTTTATTGTGGCAAGAATACTGGACGAAGATCAAGGAAAAAGAAACGGTACGAGGAAAAAGAAAGGAAGCATGGAAACTTGCGAACTATTATTTCCTTCTTTCGACATCGTTTCAATTAGAGGCCGGAGATTTACGACTTTGCATCCACGAACACCTACCTCGAGTGCTGGCAATTCACCGGGCGAGGAATTGAATTCCACGCGGGCCGACAATGGCGCCGTAATCGACAGTACTCGTGTCGTATTTTTTCCTCATCTCCGCGCCACTCGCGGCAGAAAAATTAGGGGTAATTTCGACAGAGGGTCGCTATGACGGAAGAGGTCCTTTCTACTTTCTCTCTGCTCTCATCCAATCAATCCCCATCACGTTTATTTATTTATTAAATGTCTGTACCTTTCAAAGAAAAAGAGACACGAACGTGATCCATTTATTTAATTAAATTATGCCCATAATTGGATTCCTGTTGCTGAGTAAACAGGGCCAATTTCTCTCCATAAATATTTCTTTCCGCGTTTGCAAGGTATATACTTTCTTATACAGAAAGTCTGAAAGAATCGATCTACGTAAAAAAAAAATTGATTTATAAAAAAAGTGCATGTGCATCGAGTTAAGTGCAATGCTACACTTGACTTGAGATATCTCTCAAACTACTCTATTTTCAATATTTTACCCACTCGTATTTCCGGACCATTTTATAATGTGACTCTGGGGAACGTTTGCTTTCGACTTGGAAACTTGTGTGATCGTAGTATTGTTATCGCGGAGGGATTTAAGGATTTATCAAAGAAACATTCTGAAACTCCTTTTATAAAAAGCTGAAACATTCCTTTATCTTTAATTAAACGAGAAAATGTACTCTTTCGTTTCGTTTTAAAATAAAACGCGGACAAAGCGAAGCGGGAGTGGTAAACAAGAATGGTTTTTAAAATAGAAACCTCTGATGAATGAGAAAACGATAGAGTTACAGCGTTAGGAAATTGTGCTGCTTCTCGATCGCTTCGAACGAGTATAACATTTCTTCCATTAATCAGTGCCTTCTACCTGAGCTAGGAATACTTTTCACGCGCTTCAGTTAACGATCGAGTGAACAGGACCTCAATTTCCGACGTCGAAGCTCGAGGAAGCAGCGTCGGGTCGGAACAAGATCCTCTAACGCGAAGGACGAAATTATTAAAGGCACCTTGGCCCGTTCCATTTGTAATAATCTCGGCTGTCAGTCGAGAAAGGAAGTATCGACTTTTCAATCGCGACCGATGGAAATACTTTTTCCAACCCTTTCGAACGAATCTGGACCAAAGATCCGACACGCTGAAAATTCCTTTTCCACCTGGAAAAATTTTTGAAAGCATCTTCGAAGTGGAACAAAATTTCCAAGCAATATCGTTCAAAAAAAAAAATGGAATACAATTTTTTTCCCCGACTGACTGTCAGTTGACCCGTGCATCGACAGTGTCTGAAGAAGTTTCCGTACAATGGCAAGAAAAATGAAAAGAGAAAGAATGAAGAGTAGAGGGGAGAGAAAAAGAGTTTACGAGCATTCACGATGGGAAATCGATACGATATTTCATCCGTTTCGCCGTCAACGGTCTCGAAGGTGCGAGCAGCCAAGTTGCACAGGCTGCACCCCATCCACAAGCTTCATCCCCGTCCCCTCTGGCAGCCTCGAAAATCCTTTAAACGTTCATCCCTTTAAGGAGTAGCACGTCGTCGAGCCGATAAGCCGACGTTCGATGCGACCCCGCCGTCACCTTTCGATCGCTCGATTGCCCTACAGTGTGAAGTCATCCGTGTGCTGGAACGCCGTGAAAGATAGGCGAAACTTACTACCGACCATTTGCATTTCACCAGCAGTAAATTTCTCACGATCTATAATGCGAATTAGTATCGCCCTTTGAACGAAAAAAAAATTTCCAACCATATATCCTTTTTCCAGGACGGAGTTCATTAAAGGCGATTGTCTCGTTGGCACCTAGGCGACGGCGAATTAATTAATAAACCACGGCATTCAAGCGGAACACAAAGTGGCGATTAAGTCTGATTAAACGGCAGATTGCGCGGACAATGAATGCATTACGACGGCTAGGCATGCGATACGCCGTTGATACCAGCGCCTGATAACAACCAAGAATAATTAATTGAAATAAAATTCATGACGAATTCGTTCTGAGAGTATGCTAAAGAAACGAGCAGTTCATGACGAACGAGAAGTTGATCAATCGAACCTTGCCTTCCTGTTAATTAACGGTAACAGGTTCGTCGATGCTGTTGATTTGTTGAATCGACGAATTCAATTTGATCCTTGACACCGGTTGCTCCGTTTTGTAATCTCGACTCAACGACTCGTCAATGGAGTCAACGAACAAGAAGCTGATGAATTTGCATTGTTAATTGAGACCAAGACAAACGGCATTCCGACAGACCTGATTGCAATTAAAGAATAATACCATGACTTAAAATACAATAACGAACTGTGAATGTCGGGAATTTCTTTGTGCTCCTAGTTACGCAATAATGTTAATTAAAAACATTTATTTCTCCCCTGAGAATTATTCGCATCCCGCAGTTCGACGAATAAAATTTTCCAAGCACGCTTCAAGTTCGAATGCTTCCAAAATGGAGGCACAACCCTAAACAACCCCCCGAACCGGACACTTGGTCGAGGAACTTTGTAACAACAAGAGCTACCGTTTAGCCAAGACTACCATAGCAGAACTTGCACGTCCGCGATCAGATAGTTCCCACCACATCCCTCGGCCCTTTTCAAGCGAACCCTTTAGTGTTCCAGTTACTCGTCGACCGATTATTAAGCGTTTCCATGGCGTCGAATCGATTGGATCGACGTAAGTGGCAGCGTTCTCGCCAGCCTCGAGATTTCGATCGAGAACAGACTCGAGTATCCCGGTTCATGATTTTCAACCGAACACAAATTGCTACCACAAATCGTTCGAGAAACAGAAACGAGAGAATCTTGAATGTGTCGATCGGACGAAGCCTGCCATTGTTCCAACGAATTCATGATATCGATCGGAAGCGAAGTAATTACCGTGCAAGGTGAGCGAGAGTTAATTCCGGGGTGGCGAGCTCTTTCTCTATCCATTTCCACGTCGCGTCGTCCGCCTCGTCATTTTCTCTATCTTCGATCAGGTCCACCCCTGTGTTCTTTTTTTATTTTTTTCTATGCTTCCTCGACCGATCCTCACCTTTCTGGCGGACAAATTGGATTCGATAATTGCGAATCACGATGACAGAGACGACAGTCACGTCGACGATCGGCTGGCCCCAGCTGGCTACCGAGAAAATATCTACGTCTTTCGATTTAGTACGCGACGGTCTATCACTGTCGCGAGAATCGAGACATCGAGAAGAAATCGATATTGCTTTCATGTTCCCGTCTGATAGATTGCAAGCATTCGCAAGAACTGATAATTATGATTGCTCTTCGACGCGGTTGTAATTACGTCTTCTACTTTGAACTTTCTTCTTTATCGTGTCTGTCTAAACGCGTGCAGTTTCTACTTGCTTCAAATAAGATTGACTTTCGCCCGTCAGTTTTTTCGCGATGAGAAAATTGTAATAGCGATCGGACGTTACAAAACAAAGGGATCATCGAATTTCCCGGCTGCTCGTAATGCTCGAACATAGACGGTCGACTACGTAACACGGCCATCTATGGATATAGGTGGTAAACCGCGGATGTCCGGCGCGGATCAGCCGTGGTTAAAACTGTCCGCGTAAAAGGATCCATTTAAATCCACGAAGCTGGTTGAACACGCGCGGGAAATTTCTGCCACCGGTGCACACTGACAGGATAACCATTCATCCCCTCGTTAACGAACAATCAAAACCGCAGCGCGGTTGGATTTTTTCAATTAATGTCACCGGATTAAATGAATAAACGTCAGATGTTAATTATCCGCTAACGGAGTGAAATGAACCGGGAACGTCTGCGTTTCAAACGTAGCGACACGCGAAATAACGTGTTCCCTGGCCCTTACTAGGAGAAAAATAAAATATACCGACCGCTGTTGAAGAAAAACTAACAACGACGGTTGTTTGTCGGGTTCTCCATTCTGTCTCCGCAGGCAATTACTGCTTGCACAACGCTAATTTCTGCTGCGTGCACGCGAAATTGTCGACTCATTACGGGCACGAGATCATTGTTGTCTTTATCGTGGTTCGTGTCCGCGCAGATGGCAGTTCGAAATAATCAAACTCAAGCCTTACTTCTAAATTGCACGCGGAAACAATTTAACTTCTGCCGATTGGAATTTCTAAACACATGGTTTCAATAATTTCGAATAAACAGCTCTATAATAGATGACGCATCCGATTTTCCAATGCCGTATTTTTTCCCTTAATTGTTTGATTATATAAAATTCATGAAACTTTTCTCGGCGACATTACGTTAATGAATAACCAGTCAACAATCGAGGCGAACCAACGGGATTAATTACGAGTCCGGGATCTCAAGTTCCTCGTTTCCGACATCGAATCAAATTTCCAGCGAAAATACATCGAAATTATGAAGGTCCGCGGCTCAATTACCGAACCTGGACCGTCTGTCAACGTCCTGCTGTGTTTGTTCTCATCGTTCTCGTTCCGGCAACGTTATTTCAAGCCGAGCCGGTACCTCCGGGTAATAAGAGATACAATCGTAATATCCTGGACGCTGCGTTCCGTCTAAATTGTCCGACCAGCTTATCCCGAATATTTACAGCCCCATCCTGATTACAAGCCGGAGCGTCGCGATAGTAACCGAAACGTGTGGAATATTTTCGTAGGTCCTCGCGGAACGTGGCCGCCGGCTCTACTTCCCTAACAAATGATCGCCGACTGTCAAATATAACCAGAAAAAAAGAAAGAGAAACGGAGAAAAAAGAGCGCTTAACAGCCGACCAGATAAAAATTGATGGCTCGTGTCAGGACTATTATTGTGCGACGCGTGTAGAGACACATCATTAGAGGGGGTTTGAATGAGGATTTTCTAGCTGAACAGAGACAGAGGCGAGCGGAGTAGTATAGGTTAGCCCTGGGTCGGCCATATATTTGTGCGTATCGTGCCTCTAGTCGGGGAATTACGAGAAAGATTGATCGTACCTATTTGCCGAAACCAAATTACACTTCTGTTCAGCCGCTCTCTCTATCTTAGGAAGCCATTCCGTTACCGTGGCTAGTCTCCCATTTATTTATCACCGTCCCAATAAATAATTAGCCCCCTTAATAACGTCCAAGGTGCATCGATGTATCGATAGATTATTATTATTTATCCCCGGCGAGAATAAAAGGGATAACCGCGTGATGCATGGAGCCAAGGGTAGAACGAACAAGAGGATAGAAGAACCGGTAGATTGTTTTCTATGATGTACGGTTCGAAAGACTACCCCGGCAGACGTAATGAAAAGTTTGTTTTTTTTTTCTTTCCTGCTGAAGGAAAGAAAGGAAAGAAGGGTAAATGAAACACTTACGCTGAACGGCACCAACGAGTTCTTCACGGACGGGACCATCCATTGTTGAAACAGCGACATGACCACTTGGCAGCCGACCACGACCTCCACGATCCGTTTAATCAAAAATCTGCAAGAAGAAATAAAACGTTTCTTCGTGACGTCGTCACCAGGCTAGTTCGGTTGAATCAATGCCACGTGGAAAGGAAATTTTTTTAAATGGACCTGTTTTCGATTCAAACGAACCCTCTGAGTCTGACTTAAAAAGGCGATCTTGGAAACTGGATGACTTTATGAATTTTAATTAATTGACTGCTGCAAACGTTGACTCAACTCTCTGGTATAATATAAAAGATACGACTTCGGAGGTGACGTTTCTTTTCCATCGTGATTTCTCCTAGAAAGTCAGCAATCATGCCGATGGCAAGAAATGGTGGCCAGACTCTCGATGCACTTCCGGCTATATGCATCGTCGAGACACATACGTTGACGGAGACGGAAGAAAGTGTTCCACGAAAATTTTCGAGATTCCGGATACGATCGAAAGTACGAGCCGGAAGCATGGAAAGGAATACATCACCTTGCACCCGGAGTCCATCGAAACGTACCCTCTTCTATTTTCCCAACAATAGCCCACTTAAATCTAATTTCGCGAACACTCCGCTCGCCAACTTTGCCTTCTTCCCTCCGTTTTCCTTTCCAAAGGAAGTGTGTAGGATTGAAACCGAGCGAAAAAGAAGGCAAACTTTTCGTGAAGTGCTCGCGAACGGATACGAGCTGGTACGTATATAAACGTGCTCACCGACAGGATTAGAATTGAAAGGAACTTTAACGCGGAACACGAGTGTTTTCTAGTTGATCTAATTACAAACTCCGTTTCAGTCGTTTAGTTTGTTAACTGAAATTGATCGTTGCGACCATTACTCGTTGTTCCAATAATTAAAGCAGAGCCTTTTGCAAATTGTCAGAACGGTCTGAATTTCTATTGACCTTAACTACTTAAAAATAATTTATTTTAGTTCTCTGAGAAGTAACGAATTAAGGCAAGATAAATTATCTTTAATTATATCAGTCGTTTATCATTTTTTTCATACTTGGTGTCAAGATTTTGCAGTCATTAATAATCTATATAATATTTCATGAACAAAGACAAGACACCTGCGTCGAAAATATTTTTCGAGAGAAATCTAAATGGTAAATATAAACTCTTTGCTTAATTTTCAATTTCTTGGCTACGTTTTAGTATTATTTTAAACAATTTTCTTAGGAGCTTCAATAAAAAGAAAGATACACGATACTCGACAAATTGTAGGTCAAGCATTCTACAATGTACCTGCATTCTAAGAAGGAAATTTCAATCCACGATAAAAATTCTGAAATACAACTGAATGTTCCCCGTCGCAAAGCGTTCTAATATTAGTTTCAAGAAAAGTTTCGTCCAGTTTTATACGGACACGGGTAATGCATACCCGTGAAAAATAGATGACAATGTATCCTTGCAAGAGAGCTGAGATCACGTTGAGCCTGTCGCATGAAACAAGCAGATTAATCTTCCAGTCTCGTGTATACAAAAATCCTTCCTTCGTATATCCGTTGTTAAAACATTAATTTTCATTCGTTTCGTAAGTCGTATGACTTGGTAATTTTCATGTTTCACGGTTCAAACAATCTAAATCTCAATTTTAATCTCTATTTTCCATACGTTTCGATACGCCGAATTGGAAAAACCAAAAAGGAGAAACCTCGACGTACTCTTATTAATGTTTACCTTTTGCGAATCCTTTGTGACCTAGGGAAATTCAGTTCATAGCAGAGCGTAGGGGCCAGAATGTAGTAGTAGAGATCATGGAGATTCAGGTTGTCCGGATATTGCACCAAGAAGGTACCAGCACCGTCTACTTCGTGCTTCGAGTCGTCGACCTCTGCAACGTTCACGCTGGGGGCTGCAACAACGAATCGTATCCGCGTTAGACGTGGAAAAAACAAATTACAGCGATGAATCACACGCGGCTGGCAAGCAACAGGAATTTCACCGGCCTCCCTCCCGCCTTACACTCCAAGTTTCTCCAAAGGGTAGAAAACAAAAATCTAAAAGCGAAAGCTTGGAGAGTTTGATGAAAAGCTAGGGGTAGAAGTTGTACGGTCGAGCTCCCAGGATCATTTCGAGCCTCTCCAGGGAGCGGGAAGAATAGTTTAATCTTCCGCGAGGAACCGGCAAGTATTTAAACTTCGATCCCTCGAGCGATAGAAGTTTCGATTGTTACGCGACGATAACGATTATTATTTCTCGAATTGATCCTCGTTCAAGGCTCGTCTGAACGAGACAAAGGGAGACGTTCCCGTAGCAAGCAGCTGGAAAATCTTCACCATTTCGACAAGCTTTTCGTTGGTTATTCGACCGAGACAAGAGCGATTCTCTCGTCTATGCGTCTAATCCGCTTGCAACGCGAATAGGTAACTGATAGAATCCCCTCATTTATCCAAATCCGACGGATAATCCAATCTGGAATTCAAATAAGCCCCGTTGCACCGGCTGTTACCCGACTACCATAGCTATGGAACAGCCGATCGGACCGATCCGCTTGGCTACGCGTCGCGACGCTGCACACTGCGCCGAAACGTCGATAAAAATGACCAAAAATTTACTTTTTAAATTACATCGAATAAACATATAGAATTTTTAAAAAAATATTGAATTCTTGCTACTGGGCGTCGGACGTCATCGAACCGCTATTTGGAAGCGGCAGAAATCCGTCGTCCCGACGCGACGTCTGACGTCCGAGCGACGCCTGGCGACGTTCCACGCCTTCAGCCCCTGTAATAAGCGTCGAAGAATTCGTCCAAATTAAATTCCTGCTGCCTCTTTTTCGTTCGACCCGACGTTCCGTCTCCGTCTCGCAGCCTGGCTTCATTTATTCGCCCTCGTGTTTTTCCGTCTGTTTCCTCGCACTCAATACCGCTTCGAGCACGGAATTTCCTGTTCCGTCGCGATGCTCGAGTTAATACGTCGCCGCGCGAACGAGCCGCGAGATATCGCGAGGATTCCACCTCTGGTAATGGGAATCGGGGAGACGCGACTGGAATTTTTAATACGCCTTTCTCGATCCCGTTGCGATTATGGAGGAACCGAAACTTGTTGAGCGGAATTGGGTTCCGGCGAAGCCGCGATACCGGTTCAACAGGTGAAAAATCGCTGTTCTTCTGGAAAATTCAGACGCGCAGACGTGGGCGAGCAAAAATCGAAAGAAATTCATTGAATTGAGGGACGTTTAGAAATTGGAAGCATTTCTGAAGTAATGAATCAAGAGGATTGGTTGAAAACACCTTCAGTTTATCGGGCAGATAAATTTCTAGAATTAGATCTCCATGTCGTTGGGAAATTGTGGCCAACTGGTATCGAGACAGCCGAGGTCTGTTAGGCTCGGTTCGCGCTGTTCCAGGAAATTTACGAGTCCGCCGGATTGCCTTGTCGAAGATTGCAGCCAATCCTATCGGTCGGAAGCTTCGTCTCTTGTACCGTTCAAGCTTAATTTGTGAGATTTCTCGTTCGCTTTGCTATCCACCCCCTTGCTGCACTTCCCTTCCTACTGTCTCTCCGTCTCGCACACTTTCGACATATTACTTTTACATAAAAATAAATTTCACCGCGGCTCGTTATTTCTCAATTTTACACCAGACAAAGACGAATCACTGCATCAACGATAGTGCCTCCCCGGTAACACTATTGATAATAATCAAGAAGACTCTGTTCTGCTTGTATTACACTTAGCAAGTTCATACGTCAAGACAGATACCTTCCATTCCGTCCTTCGTACAAGCCATATTTTCCCTTTAATATCAGGTTGCGATACGAATACACCTACAAAACAGGAGCTGATGCCTGCGATTGCGTTTACACGGTGCAAAATCATAGTTTGCAGACGAATCGATATTCGACCGCGATGGTTTTATAAGAGTTCCAACGCGATATCGCATGCGAGACATCGAATGTATTAATTTCCTCTAATATAAAATTACGCGAACATCTCTCGCAGCCGGCGCGGCGATGAAATTAAAAAGGAATAGAAGTTACTTCCACGAAGGCGAAGTTTCTCAAAGCCCGTTGCACCTTCCATGAAAACAAGCCTTCGTGGCGCGAACTCGTCGAGTTCCTTAGCTGTTGCCGTGGCTGCGAAGCTCGTGATACCAGAACATAAGAAGATTTCCGACGCGTGGGTGCTTTCGCGAACTTGCACCGTGAAAGGTTGGACGTCAACGGTGTAATAAATTAGAGGGAAACTCGTCGTACGGTGGCGTTAGACGACTCCCACTCGCACCTTCTATCCGGCAATGATGTATGACACGGCGTTTAACGTTGCGTAAGTATTTAAAACCGTAAATGATGGGAAGTCTGACAAGCGAGAGAGTTATTGTGCGAGACAAGCCGGGAAACTCCTATGAAACGCTTAGAAGAAATCGTTACCGAGTGTACAATAGCTTATGGGATGAATAAAACATGCCAGATGATAGTTGATTTGCAAATGAAGTATCGGCGAACGATCGATAACATTTTGATCAACTAATCACTTCTGAACGTTTAAAGAACATCACTGGAATATTCCTGATCGAATAATCGATCGCTGTTCAGAATAGCAATTCAAATTTAGGACGTTTTAAACAGATACAAAAGGGGAATAAAATGAAGTATTAATCTATTATTGAGTATACATCTTTAGGAAATATTCCATTTCACGTCAAACTAATCATTTCTGAATATTTAAAGAACATCAGTGTAATATTCCTGATTGAATAATCGATCGCTGATCAGAATAGCAATTCAAATTTAGGACGTTCTAACAGAGACACAAAAGGGGAATAAAATGAAGTGTTAATCTATTATTCAATATTTCATTTTTATGAAATATTCCATTTTAGTATAATATTGAGACACGTCCTAAAATTTTGTGCAATGCAGAAAGTTGCATTTTCCATGCGACAAAGTTGCTATCCAAACCTGCATTTATCAAACCTATAGTTTCGTACACTTGAATTCTATTAAATTTCATAGTGTCTAAAACATTGTATAATGAGACCGGTCACGTGATACGCGAGCAAAAATAACGCCATACACGAACGTTAATCGCGAAACGGAACGGAATATTAATTTCAAGAAAGCGTCGACAAAAGCGGAAGTGTCACTCCGTTAAAATTGCCAAAATTGAAACCATCCATAAATTCATCCACGGTCCATGCATTATTTAACACATCCCAGCTAACAGTTTCGAAAAATACCGACCGCTAAAAACCATCTTCCTACACAACAGCCACGCGATGCAAGCGTCGAGGTTTAACAAAGAGACGAAACGAAAAGGAAAAAAAAAAAAGAGAAAAATATGAAGCTTCCTCGGGGAACATCGAAACGTTCGCCAGGAGCTCATCGACTCGAATGGCAGTGTGGCACGCGAAACCATAGTCGTGCAGCACGTCTGCCCAATGATTGGTCCGTTTCTGCCTCATTTTTGTCCGCTGTTCGTTCACCGACCGTTGTTCGCGTTTCAGAAAGACCTTTCGAAGAGCCTTCTACCTTAACTACAACTAAGACGTACATTAAAATAGATTGCTTTTTAAGAAGAACTCGTAGATCGATTAAGTTTCTGGATTTTCGGAGTGATTCAGGGTAGAACTGGGACTTAAATTTTCGTCCTAATTATAATTAATTAGGCACCAAATCCCCGTCAGTCCACTGGGTGACTTCGCTATAACTTCGTTCGATTGACAGAATGCTAAGGCCAAGTTTACATTAGTAAAGTAACTAATAGATATTCTAGCGTTGGTATGCTGAACCGTAGGAAGAAGGCTTACCCCGTCACATTGTTATCCCACTCTATCCTCCCAACGATCAGCTCTAAGCCTAGATTATATTGATAGAGTACACCAACGCTAGTAAGAAAGATCCATTTACTAGACTCATGTAAACTAAGCCAAATAGCGTCGATAACCGTCCCGAAACCTGGCTGAACTTATACGCATCGGCGCGCCATGAACCTGGCTACTCGACGACGGCTACGAAGCATCCCTAAGCCTACGGGCTTATTGAGAATAACGCGAAAGAGACGGGCATCGAACCCGACTTACCCCGGCAGGATCGATGCTCGCTGCTTCGACACGAAAGGACAAAAAGCTTCCGCGAAAAGAGGCGCACCGTGGCACAGAAGTCAACGTCGCCATTATAGGACGCAATAATACGGCATACGTCGATGTACAGCTAGCGAATAGAGGGTGGAGGAGGTAAATTACACGGCGAACGGTATAGAGAGAGAATTATGCGCGTGTTCGTGGCTCTAGCGAGGTATACGACCGTGAACGATCGTCTATCGCACCTCTTCGAATCGATCAGTCGCATCGATCCCGAGTGTAACGCGTTCTCCTCGTCTGCGACAGGGCTGTCTCATCGATTTTCGATAATCACGTTAGCCCGCGGCACTTTTTATACTTCGCCCGACGTTATCGTACGATCGCGAAGCAACCTGGCTGACGGACGGAGGTCCGGTCGTGCGGGGAATTAACAGTCGTCTGTTTATTTCTCGGACGAGCGACCTTTCCGTCACGGTGTCTCGCGACGAGGAAACCGCGAATTACGTATTCAAAGATGGAAAGCAGGCTGGTCTCGTTTCGGCGAACCGGAACAGAGGCAACTGTAACGTTTTAACGACTACATTATCCCGCCTCGCGATACTTAACGTTCGACCATTCCTCAACATCTGTTCCACCGGCTTCCGGGAAAGGTATCAGCTCCGCGATGCACCATTCACACGCATCCGCCATTATGTCTTCCTCCCACATTATCTTGGCATTGATTAACGAGCCTCAACCGTGAACAAGAAGTCAGGAAACGAGGAAGCCTCGGCCACGACGAAATGGACTTGAATCGAATTTGCAAACAGGAACAATTTGTACCCTCGCTTTAGGGGTGTGTCAATCGATATTTAAAATTTCAGATTTTTTAGAAAAAAAAAAATTAATTGAAGTCTAAAGGAGAAGTTGAAGGAAAATCTGAACGTTACGAAACTAAAGATTAGTTGCTACTAGAATTTATGAGGTCGCTTCGAAGCTGTTCTAAGAAACAGGAAGCATTGTATAACAGATTTTCATTGCACGAAACAGAGCCATAACACGTCAAAATGATACATGAAGTCTTTACAATTCCGAATTTCTCCGTCCCTCTCTCTGGAACTGTGCGGAGGCGTACAAGAGGGAGAGAAGGGTTAATATTCCATGCGGTGAGTTTATTGGGGAAAGGTCGCTCGTATAATTTGACTTTGCCAGCTCTGAATAATCGATATACCAGCAGGCTGCACTCAATACCCGGAAACAGACGCGAGGCTGATCGAGAGTTTAAATTGGGTGGAAATTATTCGCCTCTTCCACTGTGGCTACGTGTTCACGAAGCCTGGGTTGTGCACACGCGTCCTGGCAAACCACGACAATGTGTGTGCATCTTCAAAACCGAACAAATACCTCTGACACCCGAAACTGGATTACCAGAATGAAAAAAAAAAGGAAAATTCTTCTTTGCTGTTCCATTATCCAAACACATTGGCATCAACCTACCGCACCGAATAATCAGTTCTTTGATTCAACATCAAAGAACTTACGAGTTTCCATTATTAAATTCGTGCACGCGAATTCGATTTCCACATTACGTGTTACACGTGAGAATCCGACCATGGATCCCCCCCGATTGTAAATATGATAACAGAAAACTGTTCGTAGGATCCTTTGCTTTTCCGTCGCGACGGGTTCCTTTAATTAATTTTGTTCGCAATTTTGTCAGCGTCCCGGATTGCAAAACACGCGACACCGAAACGGCAAGATAAAAGAGGAAAAAATATATCGTAACGAACACGTGACACGAACAAAAATATACGCAGCTGACGGTTTTTTTCTGTCGAATTCGCGTGAAATTAAAGGGCATACCGTGGAAACGCGAAACGATGTAAAGGGAATGCGTGATACTTGTTACCGAAAGTGGCCAGGCGTGCGTAACGTTTTAACGCGAGTTCGTGGCGATGAATTGACGCGGTCGATAGAAATAAACGCCCTGCCGAGGGAGTGTTGTTACCAGAGATGAATTCAAGTGTGTACCCACTACGGAGGGCCTTGAATTTTCAGGTCAAGGTCAATTTTATAAGGAATAATTTTATGGAACTTAATTTGAAACGTGATTATCGCTCCATGACAAAGCGATACGTAACCATGGGTTCGCGGACCTATGTATTCGGAAATTCAGCAAACGAAGATGCGAGGGAACAGAGAGACGCAATGGGAAACGCGATGTCTGACGGTGTTACGCGAACATTGTCTACTTACACTGTAGATTGTTGTACGACAGGGATTGCCGTCGTATTCTGCCCTGGCTCACTGTCTTTCTTCGACTGCTCAGCCGACACCACATGTTCACTTGCACGTACGACCATAGCTTCAGGAACAGGATGGCGTACAGCATGCACACGTACATGGCACCGACTGCAACAACGAACAGAATTAATTATACGTATAACATTGCACACCATCGTGGCAGCTTGTCGTCGAGCATAACGTTTCTACCACCTTCCTACCTCCCACTTCGTCAACCTATAGGACCGAAGTTCAGCTACCTTGATGAAAGTGTGTTTAAAATTAACACGAGGGAGCGAGGAAGGTAAATTAACGCGATTCCGAGGATTCTTTCTTTCGCGTTGCCCTAAAATTTCATTACATCTCGACAAGGGGTAATATTTATTTCACAAGAATATCGTTGAACAAATTCGCGGAAAGATACGGGTATTCGTTATCCGTGTTCTTTCTTGCGGATTAATGAAAAAGAAAGGAAACGTAGAGCGGGTGGTGAGAGGCAAGAAAAGAGGAGATAAAAATGATGGTGGACAGGATGGCGCGGAACGTGCAAGTACGTTTTAATCATCGCAATTCTACACGGCACCCGAGAACGTGACAGCAGATACATCTGTGCGAATAAAGCATACGTTGTTACACGCCGGACGTACGTGTCCGAATGTGGCAATTAAAGGGTTTATAAAACACGGTATTACGCATTCACGGCCGACCGTTTCATCCGCGTTGAATTTATCTTTTTCGCGGCTTTGTTCATGGCACCGCTGGGAACACGTTTGTAATGATTAAAGGTTCACAAACGCTTCTTGCAATTTCCCCGACGCGTTAACCGGCTGAAACCATCGGGACCGGAACGAATTACTTTTTCCCGCCACGTTCATCGAGCGTGGCGCTCGGTTCTGTTTAATTATGGCCAACGGTATTTGCATCGCGATCCTAAGAATGTCAATTATTATTATGCAATGCCAGTAACGGCTGCTGCCAGCTAATGGCGTTGGACCATAGACGACGAACGAAGCCAGCCAGGCTTGGGATAATCCTCATATTTCCTCGATATTTTCATCGATCCTCGCTGCCTCCTTCGCCAACCAGATTGATCGTATCTTAATTAAATCCTGTTTGCTAGCACCAGTTATTTTAGCTCATTGAGATTCTTTAAAAGAAATCTGACTTGTATATGTAAGACAAGATTTTGAATTTTAAAAAATAAATAAAAATGGTATATTAATTCAACAATTAAAAATTTATTCTCTCTTGTTTTACTAGCAAGCTTGTTCACCCATGCGAACACCCCTCGTTTACCAACGTAATTTGCATGCAAATAAAAACCCTAATTCGAATAAATATTTATTAAACAGGTTGTTTGTGGTGATCGTTCCCGGGAAAGTTCGACGACAAACAGGGAACAATTTTGTCGAACGTGCGCCTCGACGAAGAAACACGGGAAAATTAAAGTTCGATTTCTTTTCCCGACACACTTTGTATTTCCAGGTAATATGGAGGAGTACGTGGATTTTCCATCGCCTTCAGGGCTCCGCGGAAGCGAGCTTCCGACGTAACCGTGAGAACGTTCTTTGCCAGGGAAAAGTGGATACTAAATATTCTCTGACTGCTCCCTTTTGTCCCCGTCGCACTTTTCCTCATCCTTCGCGCAAGAAATATTTTCTTTGGCACGCCCACCTGGAAAGCCAGAGGCGAGGTGCTAATTAGAGAGATTCTCGGATTCCCGTGGAAACCACGCGTTTAAATACTCGACCCTGCGCGAGTAGCCCCCCCCGTTTTCCTTTGATGAGGAAACGACTCTTGCGAGGTTTGTTAATGACATCGAACGAGTTCCACCCTGAGAGACGTTAAGGAAGCGAAGAAGTCTTCGATTTCTCTCCTTCTTTTCACTCTAATCTCCTCGCGATCTCCGCGACGAGAAGGCGACAGCTAAATCTGGTCTGATATTTATCCGCTACGGGATTTTAATAACTCTATTCGTTTGCCTTCATTAAAAAGCCATCAGAACTATAGACATTAATTTCCTGGCAACGATAAAACATCTTGAAGATCAACGACGAATCGAACCAGGAATTAATATTTACGTTTCGTGATTATCTGAAATGATCAATCGCTCGTTAATGCAAATAGGAAGGAAATTCTGAAAGAACAAACGTCTTTCCTGATTGCGTGGTCGCTATCTGGAGTTGAAGAAAGTACATTTCTGTTCCTGTTTATCGTTTATGATTTCAGATAATTTTGAGGAGGGCCACACGAAGCCGGGCTCCACCATTTTCACCTTTATTTCTTCTATCTCCTTCAGTCGCATATACCGTAGGAGTGTTCGCGCTAGCAAGCCCAGGGCGTTAATGAACGTATATACCAGCTGTGTACCTGTACCGAAGCGAGATAATTGCCAAATGCCGTGACGCGTGTACTACGCGTTCCCTATAGTTTGGCACGCTGAAACGAATCTATCTTGCCGAGAGGGTGGGCTGCGACGCCTCCGTCACCCTGTGCAAACGTGTGTCCGCGTGTCACCCGCACGATTTTACAACGATCCGGCGAGAAACACGAATCGACAGCGAGATAAACTTGGAAACAGACAGAATGAAATGTACACGGAAGTAGAATTCTGTCGGCAAATAAGATTGATTGCTATTTCAAAAATGACTTCCGTTTGAAATTTTTCACCTGATATCTTAATAATATCTACGATATTAATTTCCTGTCAATTATACGAAATAGACCACGAGATGAACAAACGTACGAATTAATATCACAATCCTCTCTTTCCCCTCGTCATTCATCATGGCGTTCGTGATTCGCTCACTGCTACATTTTTCTACGCCCCAAGCTTAATTGTTTCCTAGCTGAAAACTCAGAGATCGATCGGAATCACTGTTCTTGCTCGCGAGCTTGTTGCAGCTTTTTCGTGCCTCGCCGCAATATACGAGGCAAGGAGCGCAATTAAGTCGTGACAATTTGTCCGGGTGCAAGGCGTGCTCATGCCACGACAGATTTATATACCGGCGAGATTTTTCATCGACGCAGAATAACGTCGAGGGAGTCGGAATTTTCGAGCGACAGTATTACACGCCGGAAGCCGGATAATCCGAATCGGTAGATGACGGCAAAGGAGATCTTTTTTTTTTTTTATTTTTTCCAAACCCACGCGAACCATTGACAGCCGAACAATGGATAGTTATAAAGCTTCAGCATCGAAGACAGGGGATGGTAACTATTTATATGCAAACACGCTCTTTCACTGGCTCGAATACGTATCAATGATTTTATTACCCACACTCGATTCACCTGTCCCGAAGGGAGGAACAGAGACAGACGTATATAAGCTCGCGAAGATATATCGTTTCGACGGCAAACAATTTTCCGAAATTTTTGAAGACACCGTCATATTTCATCGTCGACAATGGGTTGGGCTCGAAAAAGGGATGAAATGAACGAAAAATAAAAAAAAATAAAAAAAAAATAGAGGGAGAAAGATTCGCGTTAACGTACAGAATTATTCCACTGATTTCGCTGCTACGAACATTGCGTTCACGATGAACCAACCAACCACCGGTATTGTGCAGCGAGCGTACAACAATGGCGGAAGTTCCAGCAGCGAAAATAGTTTCTCCATTTTCTTCGGCCGCTCGCCGAGCTGAGGAATTGCCAGTTTTCACCTCGGACCCCATTGTCGCCTGGTACACTTCCAGATCCGCAACCCCCGATCTCCGTCATCCCATTTCCCGCGATTTTCAACCCCCTCATCTCACCACCGCTCATCCAAGAACCGTGGCACGCCGATTCTACCACCATCTTCCTTCCTCCTATCTTCCTTTCCTCATTCTCCCTTTTCTTTCGATCGTACTGATATCAGAAAAAGCAGACTGATGCATTTTGATCAGGATCCATTTCCACGTGCCGCCTCGAACGGAAGAGACTCGAGACTCTTTTCACCCTTGGCCAGGAAACGTGTCATCGAGAACGTTCCCTCTTTCAGATACTCTTATACCCTGCTACGACTTAGTTTCTTCATCTTTTATAGGATTTCTCCTGCGACCCCGTGAACAATGTTTCTTTCGATGGAATAAGCACCGCGAAAGCTCCTTCGGGAGTGCTGCGACACCAATTTTCCTTCTTTCGTATTATATTCTTCAGCTGCTGAAATCTGGATAGTTTGTACTTTGTGTCTTTTCTACTTTGTCAATTTTTTATATCTGTTACAGAATTTCTTGAACGAAGAGCTCTAATATCGCGCTCCTGCCTCGTTGCAGTAGTAGAGGTCAACGATCAGTCAGACCTGTCGCGTATAAAATTACACAGTTACAAACGCGAGTTCGTAGCAAATTAAAAGATGAACCAAATTGCTTCGACGAATATTTTATAATTGTTTTGTTCGCCCTGTAATACGGACAGGCCCGAATTTACGAGATATTTCTTTTTCACCATGAATTTTGCAAACTCATGCATATTAAATTGATGCATCGTACTACATCGGGCAGGCAATTAATTAAAATACAAATTTCAAGCTCAATTTCGTATCCTAAATATTTAGCGGTATAAAACGTGTACTTTGAATTCGATGGAATGCCTCGATCCGCCGACGAGAAATAAATTTCGTTGTTCGAAAAGATCGATCAAGGCTAACGTGTATCCGTCCATTAATCGTTTCATCGAAAGCATTAGAAGTAACGTCGAATTCGTGGAACAATGTCGCACGTACACGTTTACCATCTTGTTTCAGCTCGCGTGCACCCTGCATTTGGCGTGACAACGAGCCGCGCGTACTCGGCACACCTGAGCGACGGGTGTATATAAATCGAGCATGCCGAATGGAGAAGAAACAAAGAAAAATACAAAGGAAAAAAGGAAAGAGGAAAAGGGAGAACGTGGAACAGAATCGAAAAAGAACACCGTGATCCGATCGTACGGATCTCCAATGCGATTGTGATCGAAAACTATAAAATAAAAAGAATATTTTAGATAAATATTATGGAAAAAATATGGCACGACTTTAGTAATTGGTATGTTCCATTTAATTTAAGGAAACAAGGCTTTGAGAGTTAATTGCAAAGAATTTAAAATGTTTCTCTTCTCATCAATTTCTTAACGTATCCATCCGTTCATTCAGGAGTTTATTCTTTCAT